TAAACATATGAATAGAATGAAATGATCAATTGGAAGTATTGAATAACACAAATCATTATAGAAACAAGATTCATATATAAATCAAATGTCAAGACAAGAATTATAACAGAAATCCCCACATAATACAAAATATCAAGATCTAGAAAGTATGCTTAGGGCTAACTCTAGCCTTAAGAAGATGTTTAGCCACTCATTGATGTAGTCATTCAACCCTCATAGGCGATCTCTATGGTAAAATTGATCTTCTTCTCCTTGATGGAAACCCTAGATGAATGGAAGAACTTCCAAATGGTGTGTGTATCTCTCTAATCTTTAGGCTCTTTCCTCTATTCTCTTATTGTATGATGATTCTTCTAGATTATATATGAGTAAAAATGGCTCAAATTCCTTATATAGGTAGCTCCAATGTCACACCCAACGGTCAAGTTTCGTGCACCAGGGCCCCTTAAATGATTGCACTACGAGCCATCTTTTAATGGGCTCTGTTTTATTTCGAACTTGAGGAGGTTCGATCGATCGAATTCTGATGAGATCGATCAAAGTATGTTCAGATCGATCAAAGTATGGCCGGATCGATCAAACCTTGGTGATGCCTAAGACAAGTCTGAGATATTTTTGGGATATTTTGGGAAAAAGACAAAAGTGGTAGGTGGGGATAAGATCAAAGAAGTTCGATTGATCGAAAGAAAAGTTGGATTGATCGAATATGGAAATTCTTGAGGATAAGGACAAGGTGTTTGATCCATCTTAGTGAGGCTGGATCGATCACTATGAGATCGATCGAAGGTTGGTCTGATCGATCGAAACTTGCTGTTTTCCACCACTTTGCTCCTTTTTCATCATTTCTTCTATTTAGCTTGAGATTACTTCTTTTATGCTCTAATTTTGCTGAATTGACTTATTTTAGGGATAAGGGCCTAAAAAGGGCAATAACATGAAATTAGTCTAAACGAAAAATAAGATAGATAAAGGTCCTAGAATGTTCAAGCTTAAGGGGTTTAAATACGCACTTTTCAGCGCTATCACCTAGCTTTATGTGTGACATTAGTTAGTTAACACTATGTGAATATCTTATTTTGACGGTGAAAGTAATGTTTTAGGCTGCATTTATATATGACATTAATTATTCAGTAATATGTGAATACCTTATTTTGATGGTGAAGGTGATCAATGTGCCAATTTATTAAACCTTGCCATGTTTTTTTCTCATAAATATCAAATAATAACCTGTGAAATGTGTAATTGCCATATACATTTAATACCAAAATTTTTGGATAACACATTGGTACCTAATGAAGTCAACTCAGTTCAAAAAATCAATTATGGAAGATTTCAGATTTACTATAATGTTTATTAAAGATTATAGAAGAAAACTCTACAATTATCAAAGATTTCAGATTCACTAGAATGGTTAACCAATGTCAATTTCAAGTCAAAATATCATGATTTACACTAACAAATGACAAATGAAAGAATCATAATTTCAGTTTTAAATCTACAATGTTCAATTCAAAACAAAAATTTCACTGTATTTTGAACAATAAATGAACAATACTATTAAATGCATAATATTAATAACATGTATTAAGCCTTACCAACCATCAAGCGTGCAAAACTATAAATACCAAATCAGATCCATTGTAAATTTCTTTCCTGTAGATGAAGAGGAGAATCTTATTGAAGAAATCACCAATTTGTGGAAGGAAATCACTGCAATCTGGGTTTTGATTCAAAAAAGGAAATAAAAAAGTAAAAATAAAGTAGGAGGAAGGAATTAGGGCTTTGAATAAAAAAGGAATTCAAAAGCAATATGTTTTTGATGGAATAAGGAGAGACGAATTAGGGTTTGAATTAAAGAAATTAAAAAGAAATAATGGAACAAAACAAAAAGGGAAGGAGAGAAATAAGAAAACCAAAAAGGAATGAGAGAAATAAGAAAACCAAAAGGGAAGAAAGGGAAAGATGAAAGTGAAGAAACAGGCGCGCCAATTTATGTGTTTTTTAACTTTTTTCAACTTTCTTTTTTCATTTTTTCTTTCTTTTTTCTTTTTTTGTTTTTTCTTTGAGTAATGCTTGCAATGAGCTTCATCCTCCCTGCTGACGTGGCATCCCTCCATGCTGACACGTGTCTAGAATTAAATACCCCTTTCTCTCTCTAAATGCAAAAGTGCATAATGCAAACTTGGTGACTTGAGCTTCGCCTGAAAATGCATAGGTGAGGGGGAGGTTTGGTTCGCGGTGGTGGCGAGTTGTAGGTTGATAGAGAGATGAGGGAATGGTTGTGGTTGCTAGGGTTTTGTGACAGGGGGATAGTGCTTCAATGAAGGGAGAAGAGATGAGAGATAGAGATGAAGGCCAAGAGATATAGAGAGAATGAGGGTGGAAAAGAGAGAAAGAAAAGACAGAGATGTAGGTGGACTCGATCGCGCCGGAGGTGAAGACGATCTCTTTAGGGGAGACGTTAATTAGGACTGCGATTTGGGCGCGGGCGGCCTCGACAGCTTTGTCCGATTCCCAGCCGTAGAGGTGGGTTCAGGAATGGGGGTTGCCGAATCGGGAGATGTTGTAGGGGATCATATGGCGTTAAGGACCCTGGGGTCTACCGGAGAGGTGGCCTGCATATCCAAGTAAAGAGGACTACCGGAGATCTTCACGCTTTTCATGGAGATTTCGGACGGTACTTCGTAGGGTTCTGCCACGGACGGTGGATGATAAGTGCTCAAATGTGACCCATTTTAGCACCAAAGTTAGGGTATTTTAGTCCATTCATCTATCTTACTTTCATATCTTAGTACTTATTTGTGTTTTTGCCTATTTCAGGTCAATAAAGTTTAAATAGGCTAAAAAGAGCCATTTAGCTCAATTTTGGAGCTAAGGAGCAAATTTGGAAAAAAGTCAAGAAAATTGCATCAATGAATTTTTGATCGATCGAAGGAAATCCCAATCGATTGAAAAAGGCTACAATCGATCAAAATCAAGGCAGTGCCAGCTCAGCAATTTGGATAAGGCCAAGAAGATATTTTTGATGACACGACAGCTTCGATAATCGATCGAAATCAAGGCAGTGCCAGCTCAACAATTTGGATAAGGCCAAGAAGATATTTTTGATGACACGACAGCTTCGATAATCGATCAAAATCAAGGCAGTGCCAGCTCAGCAATTTGGATAAGGCCAAGAAGATATTTCTGATGACACTACAGCTTCGATAATCGATCGAAATCAAGGCAGTGCCAGCTCAGCAATTTGGATAAGGCCAAGAAGATATTTCTGATGACACGATAGCTTCAATCGATTGAAGCAAGTGTTCAATCGATCGAAAATCCTTCGATCGATGAACTAACTGCTGGCAGTGTGCTATCTAATTCCCGAGCTTGCCGGCGTCTACCTAACTTTTATAGCTGCGAATTTCCACCAATGAAAGGCAATATTTCTAACTTGGTGCCTGCTCAAAGAGGTTTGTAATAGATTAATTGAACTAAATCTTATAGAGGTTCATAGAGTAGATTTTTTTTACCAATTATAAAAATAGTTTCTCTCTCTAGAACTAGAGTTTGGAAAAAAAATCAAGGATGAAGATGATGATGCCAACCTCCAAGTTAGCCCTTAAGGGTTTCATGGCCACTACAATGAGTGGCTAAATCATTCTATTGGGGCTAGAGATAGTCCCTAGGCTTGCTTCCTAAGCTTAGCTTTTGTATGTTTTTGGGGATTTTAGTTGTAATTGATATTTTGACCATGAATAAATATAGATCTTGTGATTTTTACATGATTTGTATGGATTAATGCTTTCAATTGATTATTTAATTCTATCCATGTGTTTATGTATGCTAGAGTGAATGTTCATATGTTTTTCTCTAGATTTAATGAAATTGATGTATGTCTATGTGTGTTGATGTTGTTAATCTAATGGTGGTCAAGGTATAGTGCTTAATTGATTACTCTTGTGTTTTATTTGATAGTTCATACTTATTTCTTGATGGATTGTGCCATATCCTTAGTTTAATTAGCTTAATTTTCATGTCACTAACTTAGTTGTAGCGTAATTGCTTTAATTTCTTAGATAGGTGGATAATCCATTCTTGTTATTTAATATTCTATTCTTATGAGTGCAAGAAGTACATTTTTTTAGATTTTTGTGTGTGCACTAATTGTGGTTTAATTGAATGATTAATGGTCTTATTTGATAGGTTGTGCTATTCACTAGATTGACTAGACAGTCTATGCTTATTTGCCATCCATGCTTAGTTTTCAATTGGTGATATGCACACACATTTTACAATTTGAATTTCCTCATTAATTTACAATTGCTAGTTTTTGGTGAAGTGAAGCTTAGTGGTGAACTCTAAGCCCCAAGACCTTTCTCTCATATTAGTTTCTTTAAATTCTAGATTGTCACTTAATTGCATTGCTTTAATTGAATCATTAGTTTAATTAATCAAACCAAACCCCTCTTTTGATCATTCGACCTACTAATCTATCATTGATTCCAAAATACGCTTCATTTCCCTTGGGACGATTCCTACTCACTCTTGCTACATTAATAATTAGTATTGGTAGTGGCATTCTATAAATTTAAACTTGGCCACATCTTCATCACACCACTTTTGTGCAACTCGGTCTTGACAACACCAGCAGAGATTTTTCATAGGGTTCCTCCACGGACATCGAAGATAAGACGACGGCTGCTTGACTGGTTTGGACTACAAATTTCAAAATAAAAATTATTTGAACACAAATCTATTTATTGAATGAATCCATCATTTCATTTGAAATATATATATATAATGCCTTCAAATCCAAAGTGGGCCGAACAATTTGGCTTCTGCATTTAGATTTTAGAGAGAGAAAGGGGTGAAAACGGGTTTGACCCGCACAAATTGGTATTACTCATATTTTTATTGTTTTTTAATTTTAGACACGAAGGATGCAGCATCATTGGGGAGGATAAGCTTCATCCTCTTTGCGCAGGATGCAAACATTACGCTTTTTTTTATTATTATTTATTGTTGGCACTTTGGCAATATGTTTACTGTGCCGTTAGTTGCCTCTTTTTTGTTGTGCCAAGCCAAACACGACATTAAGCAGTGGGCTGCAGGAAAAGAGACAGCAGAGTATTCAAAATCATTGCCTTCTCACTACATGATGTAGAAAATCCGTCTAATTCTTTCACCTAATTACCTAGAACCCACAAAACCCCTTTCACCAATTTTTCAAACTCTTATTTGCGAACAGTCTTCAACATGTCGCAGGCACAATTCCGCATAGAGACCTCCAGTGATTTCCACCAAAAACGGAGACCATTTGGAAGCCACACCACTTTTGTTTCTCAGACTGATAATTCAGAACATGGAAGGTTAACTTACAATCAAACTCCGTTCAGAATCAACAAGTCATGAGCCACTCTTCTCTGAGTCAATGCATCATAGAGCTCATTTCAGAGTAAAAAAACCAAACTTTCACTTATTTCATCGGCAACCCAATTTCTCAACTGTTACACAAGAAACAAGGCAACAAAATCAATATTCTGAATCCATTTCAAATCCAGAGCATCATCCCATATATACCCATCTTCTAAAAACATGTTTGAAACAATGCGGACGAATCCGGTCCCGCCGATTGTTCGACGAAATGCCCCAAAGAATCGCTTCTGCTTCAAGAGTTTGTAGAAGTGTCCATGCACAGAGCTTGATATTTGGTATTGGATCAAGAGGGAAGCTAGGAAATGCCATTGTTGATTTGTATGCCAAGTGTGGCGATATGGACTTCGCAGAGAAGGCGTTCTGCCGCCTTGAGGAAAGAGATATTATGGCTTGGAATTCTGTTTTGTCAATGTACTCGAGGCGGGGTTTGTTGGAACAGGTCATTGGGTCATTCAGGTCAATGCATAACTGTGCGGTCTCACTAAATCAGTTCACTTACGCAATTGTATTATCAGTTTGTGCTAGATTGATGGAAGTTGAGTATGGGAAACAAATTCATTGTAATGTTATTAAGGTCGGTTTAGAGTTCAATTCCTTTTGTGAAGGTTCTCTTGTTGACATGTATGCTAAATGTAATTGTGTGATTGATGCTCGTCGGATATTTGATGGGGCTGCGAACCCCGATACAGTTTCTTGGACAGGAATGATTGCAGGGTATGGTCGGATTGGTTTACCTGAAGAGGCACTGAAAATGTTTGAGGATATGCAGGAACTAGGTCGCATTCCTGACGAGGTGACTTTTGTGACTGTCATAAGCGCGTGTGTGGAACTAGGAAGGCTTGAAGATGCATGCCATTTGTTTGCCCAGATGCCTCATCATAGTGCTGTTGCATGGAATGTGATGATTTCAGGTCATGCCCAGAAAGGTTACAAGAGGGACGCTGTCAGCTTTTTCCAGAATATGAGGAAAGCTGGTGTTAAATCCACGCGATCCACATTAGGAAGTGTTTTGAGTGCCATTGCAAGTTTGGCTAATCTTGACTATGGCTTGCAGCTTCATGCTCTGGCAACCAAACAAGGGTTAGATTCTAATGTTTATGTGGGAAGTTCTTTAATCAATATGTATGCCAAGTGTCAAGAAGTTGAAGCTTCAAAGAAAGTGTTTGATCTTCTGGATGGAAAAAATAGTGTGCTGTGGAATGCAATGCTTGGAGGTTATGCACAGAATGGGCATGCTAGTGAAGTGATGAAATTATTCTCCAAGATGAGGGATTCTGGCTTGAAACCTGATGGATTTACCTACACTAGCATTCTCAGTGCATGTTCTTGCTTGGAGAATTTAGAAATGGGGCGCCAGTTGCATTCCTTTATTATTAAGAACAAGCTTGAAACAAATTTATTTGTTGGAAATGCATTGGTCGATATGTATGCTAAATCTGGTGCTCTAAATGAATCAAGAAAACAATTTGAGCTCCTGAGCAATCGAGATAATGTTTCTTGGAATGCAATTATTGTTGGGTATGTTCAAGAAGAAGAAGAGGGTGAGGCTTTCAAACTGTTTCAGAGAATGTATTCAGATGGGATCTCGCCTGATGAAGTGTCCTTGGCAAGTATACTCAGTGCTTGTGCAAATCTGCGAACTCTTGAACAAGGAAAGAAAATACATTGCATATCAGTTAAAAATGGTATAGAAAACAGCCTTTATTGTGGAAGCTCTCTTATTGACATGTATGTCAAGGGTAGGGACATTGGAGCTGCTCATGAAGTTTTCACTTGCATGCCTGAGCAGAGTGTGGTTTCCACAAATGCTCTTATTGCCGGATATGCGCAAAACAATTTAGAGAAAGCAGTAAATCTGTTTCATTTTATGCTGGCTGAGGGATTGAAGCCATCTGAAATCACTTTTGCAAGTCTTCTGGATGCGTGTAGTGGACCTTCTATGTTAAAACTTGGAAAGCAAATCCATTGCTTTATACTTAAGGCAGGCCTTCGATATGATGATGACTTCTTGGGCATCTCTCTGTTAGGAATGTATTTAAACTCTCAAGAAATCAAAGATGCAAGTATTCTATTCTCAGAGTTTCCAACTCCAAAGAGTGCAGTATTATGGACTGCTATAATTTCTGGACATGCTCAAAATGATTTCAGTGAGATGGCTTTGCAAATGTATCGAGAAATGCGTAGCTATAATTCCATGCCGGACCAAGCAACATTTGCTAGTGTCCTTAGAGCATGCTCCATCTCAGCTTCTCTGGAAGATGGTAGAGAAATCCATTCTCTCATTTTCCATACTGGTTTTGACTCAGATGAGTTAACAGGTAGTGCGCTGGTAGACATGTATGCTAAGTGTGGGGATGTGAAAAGTTCTGCCCAAGTTTTTGCTGAGATGGATACTAAAAACGATGTTATTTCTTGGAATTCAATGATAGTGGGATTTGCAAAAAATGGGTATGCAGAAGATGCGCTGAGGGTCTTTGATGAGATGAAACAAGCATTTGTAAGGCCCGATGTTGTCACATTCCTTGGTGTTCTTACTGCTTGTAGTCATGGAGGGAGGGTATCTCAAGGCCGTCAAATATTTGATAATATGGTAAATCAGTACGGGATCCAGCCTAGAGTAGATCACTGTGCCTGCATGATTGATCTTCTTGGCAGATGGGGCTTTCTCAATGAAGCAGCAGATTTCATTGAGAAACTAAATTTTGAACCTAATGATATGATTTGGGCCACATTTCTTGGTGCTTGCAGAATTCATGGGGATGACACAAGAGGGCAGCATGCAGCTGAGAAACTCATTGAATTGGAACCCCAAAATTCTTCTCCTTATGTGCTGCTTTCTAATATATATGCTGCATCAGGGAATTGGGACGGAGTTAATTCTGTGAGAAAGACAATGAAAGAAAAAGGTGTGAAAAAGTTCCCTGGATGTAGCTGGATTGTAGTGGGACAGAAAACAAATTTATTTGTTGCAGGGGATAAATTTCATCCCAGTGCTGGTGAAATCCATGCAGTTTTGAAGGATATGACAGCATTGATGAAAGATGAAGGGTATATTGCTGAAACTGAATCTTTTATGCACGACGAAGACTAGGAGGATGGCTTTTCTCTAGTCATCAAAGTTAATGCTTAAGCAGAAATCAAGCCATCTACATAAGATAAATTCATGAATAGATGCCATTTATACAGACTGGAGGACCCTTTGGCCAAAAGCAAGGGTATTAAGAACGCCATACCCATTTTTTCTAGATCTAGCTGCGAAGGCCCTCAAATTTATTTTTCCTTTTTTCTTCTCTGGGTGCCATCTTGAGTTTGGATGGTTTCACAAAACTCAAGTTTTGTCATTCAAAGTACTGGAGATTCTAAAACTTTTCCAAATATCATTTTGTTCCAAAGAGTAAATGTAGTTTTTCCTTAAATCATTGGAGAAGAATCCCAAAGGGAAATTGTATTTATTTCCATCATTGAAATGTTGCAGTTATTTCTGAAGAATTCAGTTTTAGACGAAGAAGAAAGATAGTAAGTTTGCTATGTGCGGGCACAAAAGCGTTCTTCAGTAATTCGAGGATCCTCTTTACCTGAAGTTCAAGATGGAAACATAACATGTAGCTAACAATTTATTGATGTAGAAGAAGTTATCAGATTATACAATCAATACCCTCTCAAAGTCACGTATATGGCATGGCAATTGGGCTTCAAAGGGCAAGCAGTGTGTATGGGACTTTCTTCGTAAGCTGCTCTATCATATGCTGATTCTACTGTATTCAGTTGCTTTTTTTTTTTTTTTAGATATTTGAATTCATGATTACTAGTGAACTTCAATTTCAACATCAAATGCTCTGTTACTTGATATACACTGCTACAAGTTTGTCAGAGTTTGATTGTTAGGAAAATTATTTTCTACTTCATTGATATCACTTGAAAAGTTTGTGATGGCTGCTGTAGCTTGGGGATTGCTTGGGAGTTTCCTGTCAGAGGGTGTTTTGTTTATTTCCCCCTCGTTTTCTTCTTCCTATTCCCGGTCCTAGAGCTGTGGATTCTAGTTGATCAAGTAAATTAAAAAGTACAATTTCTTTTTTAATTTAGTTTTTTTCCCCCTTATTATGAAGATTTGGATATTTGAAGTAGAAAAACAGAAAATTTCCTTTCCTCCCTTGTTCTTTTAATCACATTAACTTGGATAAATTAGAAGCTTCTTTTTTGTGCTTTATTGCTGCTGGTTGTTGGTGATTTAAATTTGACACCGTGATACTTCTTTGCTATAAAATGCACTTTAGATATCCTTCAACTTAAACCTTTTAAAATATTTCTTTCAGTATGCATTTTGGGATGAGTCTCTCCTTCTAACATGCACCTTAGGTCAGTCCCCCTCACTTGTAGCAAAAGGTACTCTCTCTCTCATCTTCTGCTCCCCACACCCGAAGAGCCGGGAATATAAAAAACAATTGATAATTGATAATGAACGAGAACAGAATACAAGAGGAATATAAAAAAATTAGGGGTAGTACATTAGGTCAAGTGTCCCTCACTTGTAGCAAAAAGTATCTCCTCTTCTGCTCCCCCCACCCCCTCCCCTCAGCACCACTGTTGGATTCAATTTCAGTTGTGTTTCTCTTTGGTTTAATTGTATTATTCGTTGATAGGAATGTGTATTACTTGTTATGTGGTCATTGCATTTGTGCTTTTCAGGAAAACCTGACTCCAACGAGTTGGGAAAAAGGCTTGGTTGTTGTTGCTGTATTAGTTTCAGCACGTCTGTATAAATACAATTAAAAAAATTGGAAATATACAATCAAAATATAGAAATGAGAAAATAGATATAAGAAAGATAAAAATATAAAGAAGAAATAATAAGCTATATGTAAAAGGACAAGTTGTAAATCTAAAGCATTGTTAGACAAACATTTAATTAATTATTATTATTATTTTTTTGCAGAAATTGTTTCAACTTTCACATTTCAATTTCTAGAAAAGTTTTTGATATTACTTGCAAAGTTCATGATGGCTGCTGTAGCTTGGACATTGCTTGGGAGTTTACTGTCAGAGGGTGCTTTGTTTATCCCTCCTCCACCCCCCCACCCCCCCGGGGCCCCAACTCTCATTTTCTCGGGAGATGTGCATTCTAGTTGATTAAGTAATTAAAAAAGTTTAATTTATTTTTTAACAGCAAACATCCTTTCATCCCTTGTTCTTGGCATAGGTTTAACTTGGAAAAATTAGAAATTTTTATTTTTTATTTTTTTTGGGTGCTTTATTGCTGCTGTTTGTTGGTGCTTTAAAATTGACAAATTGATACTTCTTCTCTATAAAATGCTTTTTGAATATCCTTCAACTTTTTCCAGCTAAAGTATTTCCCTTAGTATGCATTTTGGGATAGGTCTCTCCTTCTAACATACAGCTTAGGCCAGTCTTATATGTGCATTTTGATTGAATCCAACTACGTTTAGGTCCAGATTTCAGGAACCATGTGAAGTAGCATCCTCCAGAAAACATGATTGATTGCTGCCCATTTTATGTTAATTCTAGCTACAAAAATTGTAACTTATATGCATGATAAAATGAATGAAAGTTCTCAAGGAAAAGAATATTTTAACATATATAAATATTTATGTGTGTGTATAACTTTAACAAAATAATTGAAGGTTGGTATTCAGGAAAACTTTTTTATTTTTCATCTATAGGAAAGTTTGTGTGCTTGCTTGACAACCATAAATACTAGCCCCACCTCTCCCTACTAAAAGCGTACTTATCCTTGATTTGTTCGTAATGTATATTGATTTTGAAGGTTCGTATGTGATTGAATTTTGTTACGTAGGATTATACGTATGAGAGTTGATGTTTTGTGCTGTAGTATACATTCAATGAATTCCCTTAATAAAGGTATGTACGAAGATTTTACCAAAGTAACTTTTTTCTGCATGCATCCTTGGAAAATTCATCATGTTCTAGTCTTATTGGTTGCTAAAACATGTCAAATAATTTTTGAATAAATTAAACTTTGATCCCTGAGGTTTGTTCAAATCATAGTTTTAGCCCCTCTCTATTAAAAAATAACACTGTTTCCCCCTTTCAGATGCCGACTGAGTGAAATGACAATTATACCCTCACGATTGAATATGCTATTTTTCCTTGACAAGTCAATGTTTTCTGAAAATACTATAATACCCTTCGCATAATTCAGTCAAGTGTTGGTAAAATCCCACAAGTATTGGATAGTGCATACAAAAAACACATGAAAATTTATTTCATGACACAAAAGTCCGTTTGGAAACTACCAAAAAGTATCAAAATTCTTGTCTTTCCTATCTTTAAAAGTTTACATCACCCACCATACACCGAGATTTCTTCCCTGCAAGCCAAGATCTCATTCTCATTTGCATGCAATTTCTTTATCTATATATAGCTCTCTCTCTCTCTCTCTATATATATATGGCTTTAGTGAGATTCAGTGATGTACGAGAGAGAGAGGAGATGCAGAAAAGAGAAAGGGAAATAGAGTGAGAGAGAATAGAGGGAGAGATGCTGCAAAGAGAGAGAGAGAGATAGAGGATTATTCATAAAGGATATGCTGTTGCGTATTTTTTTTGAGGGAGCAAAATTTTGTCAAATTCACTTTCTTAAAATGGGGGGATTTCTGTCATTTCATGTTAATTATGAGGGTAATATTGCCTTTTTTTCTTGTGTGGTGGGTAAACATTTCAAAACTTTTTGCTTGATGACATCAGCAAAAAATGCCTTTGACTGTTAGATGGAGGGGGAATATCTTATAGCTTTTAAATTTTAAGGGGTAACAGGTTATTTTTCAATACAAGGGATCTAACAGTGATTTGAACAAATCTCCAGGGTTAAATTGTAATTTACCTATAATTTTTTATGGTCTTGAAGAGCTTTAAGATGCAGCTTTTGAAATTTTTCACTAGGCTAGTAAAATATCCAACTGAGCAATGGCGGAAGTAAAATGCACCAGTGATGATTAAAAATTCACCAATGCTGATTATCTAAACAGTATGACATGATCTTTAATGTTTACCATCCATCTATGGTGGAGGAAGAACAGTGATTGCAGAGTGCAGTATCAATCTCTAGTTTTCTTTTTAGAAATTTTTTTTCCCGCCTACCATTCCTGTGCCATTTTATTGAAATGTATTCATGATAATTGTCTACTGATTATTAAGACTGGTGCTGATGATTCGTGAACTTCCAAAAAGGCATCTATTCCACATCCCAAGTTCAGGAGGCTTTCATGCAAGTTGGGATTTGTTCCACAGAGATGAACAACATAAAGTTGATAAGTAATTATATTTAGGTAAAACCTTTTTCCAATTCAAAACCTGTTTTTCTGTTCTTTTTCTAAGATCATAACTTCAGTGTTATGACACATCCTATCATATCTTTCCTCACTATATCACATCTCAACTCTTATGGTCACCGGAATACTCATCAGCATGTAGTTTATCAGAGTGTGGAAGTGATGGCAAGTCTATTTTCAACCTTTACAAACTTTTCCAAAGGGTGGTTGATAGCTAAATTCAGTAATTAGCCGAAAAGTGAGAGCAACCCAGTTGATTCCATAGATTGGTTCTGAAGCTCAGCTTCTCAGCTTGCCTACCAAATAAGAGGGAATAAAAACTTTTGTAGGCAGGACAGCAGCTGTTAGTTCTCTACACTATTCATGAAATTTTGAATTTTCATTCTCTCTCAATGTGTAGTGCTGATAACATTGTCCTTATTAATTTTTTTATCTTTTGGTTTGCTCCAAGAAAATTGATAGGGGAAGGTATCCTGTGTTGACCTGTCCAACAACACAAACTCCCAAGCATTCAACAACTTGTATTTGTGTTGACCATCTTACACTTCTTCTCTTAAAAATATAATATTATGAGGATTCTTCAGCTTTGTAATGGATTTAGTTTGATTTTTCCAACCTGTTGGCTATTTAAAAAGTTGAGTCTGGTTTGGCTACCAATTCTTCTTAATCTTATCCTCTATTAATGCTTAGGAGCGTAGTGTTTTTGGATTCAAGAAAATGAAATTTATCATTTAGAATTGGGTCCAAAATAAATTCATGCTGGTGGAATGCATTCCTAAATTGGAAACCATGGATTTTCTGCGGTGAATGTGCTTAAATTTCTAAATTTATACTTCAGATTCCGAGATGCTTATGGCCTGAATGCTATCAACTGGAACAGAATGTTGAAGATAATGTAACTGCAGTTAAAAGAGAAAGGTGTTCCCTCAGTGGTAGATCCCATTTTCAAAATTTCCCGTAATAAGGAAGATGCAGATGAAATCAATAGAAGTCAAAGAATGGAAGTTCTGTCACCACTCAGGGTGATTTTTTGCATTCTAACCTGGCTAATTTTTCTGATACAGGTTTCCTTATGGACATGAAACTATGACAGGTCAAGATCTTATGATCATTGGGATTTGCTCAACTCTGAGAGGGAAGCTTTGCTGACAAACACTTATTCAAAAATGATTTGATTTAGAAGGTGACAGGTGATGATGTTTGGAGAGGATATGAGTTCCATTCTTCGGCAATTCATTCTTAATGGATCTTCGCAAAAGTTGGAGATAATTTTGAAATTAAAAAATAAAAGAATGGATTCATTTCAAGCAGCTCGAGGAGTCCTCTGTCTTTCTCTCAGCTTGTAGCAGTTTTATATATTCTGGTTTCCTTGCAGTTTTTCCTACTATGAGTTCTAGTTGCTTAGTGCTAGCCTTTCTTGGTATCAGTCTCTTTCACCTTGACCTTTGATTCTCCCGAGTCTCTGTGTTTGGTTCTGCTGCTGCTAGAAGCCCTGCAGCTATTGGTTTTGTTTGGTCTTGTGAGTT